GTCGGTAAGGTACTTTGAATTTGTGAATAAAAGGAAAAAAAGCAAAACGAAAGAAATGGAGCCTGTAACCAAAAGCAAAAGCAGACAAAAACTGAGCTTGTGCGAGCAAGATATGTCTTACAAAAACCTGTCTTCAGTAAGCGAGGCTTCGTTTTCCTACTGTTGCATAGCACTAGCGGGAGGTGTTTTTGATTCCAGGACGTGTGCCTGGACGAAGTAGCATCGACAAATGATTCTTCACTGATGGATTCAAACCAAACCATAGATTCTAATTAAACCGTAGATTCTAATCTGACAGAAGATGTAGATTCTAATCTGATTATCGTATAGAAATGGCACTGCTTGGGTAGATGAGTGATGCTCAACACATACAGCAGATCGAGGTCAAAAAGTCCCAATAGGACAATCAAGGATTATTAATTAAGTAAAATTTGTTCTAATTGTTTAAAAAAACAATATAACTCAAAAAAGGGAATCCGAATTGACTCCGAACTACCAAGTTCTCGTCGTTTTTCAAAAAACCGAGGCCAAAAAGTTTCAAAACAGCTCAGCGACTAACTAAAACAAGGTTGCAAGATGAATCTGCAAATGGAACTAAGCTCAAAATCCATTTTTTTTTTTTGGAAAAAAAACCGAATTAGAACTACGGGTAGAATTTATCGGTTCGCTAGTTACTATACTCCTTCTTGTACCAATACGAAACGATCGTTTCCCTAAACTGTTGTTAACGAGCTCGGACGAAAATTCTTACAACATACACCAGAACCAGCAGTCTGCTGAGCATCGAACTCTTCCACTCGGATGTCCTCTTTACGGAATGGCTGACCGACAGCGAGCGGATGATAGCTGAAACAGTGTAATGAATGCAGACAACACCAACCCAAACTGGGATGCACCGGCTTGCCGATGTGATCATGCACTTTTGTACCAAATTTGAAGTAGTCAGGTAGTTAACTGCATGAATGCTTATTGCTTTACACCTACCTTTTGCGCTCATTCGCATATATAATATTAAATTTTGCATAAAGAAAGTGAACAATTTCTGTTTGACGGTCGTTCTTTGAAAATGATCTAGCTATTTTGAGCAAATTTTCCGCCAAAAATTTTAAGTGCCCGTGTATGAGAACCACGCATGTCCGAAGACTGAGCTTGAAATATTTAAGTTATACGTGACAGGGGGCATTACCCAAAGATCCCACCTTTCTACCTTTTCTATGAGCAATTTTCCCACTAGAACCGCCACATGCCCCTACGTGAGGATCACGTACACGTAGGGGGCTGAATTTGAAATCTTTAACTTAAACAAGCACTGAGAGTACCCCTGCAAAGTTTCAGCTCTATATCCTTTCTAGTTTCCGAGATCGCTTTCTCGCCAAAAACTTTTCACATTTTTTAAAGTGTCCGTACGCGGCGCCAGGCGTGCGCGGGCGATGACATCGAAACGGAAGGGTTGCATTTGGTGTAAGCACACATTTCCGAAGTTTCAGCTTTCTAGCTTCTCTGGTTCTCAAGTTCAAAGTGGGTGATAAAAGGTGCAAACACATAGACAGCCTTTTGCCAAAATGCGTTTTTGCATTTGCATATATGCAGAAATACATAAAAACCAAAATTTTAAGCAAGATCAGTTTGGCGATTACAATTAGTGCAGGGGACAGAAGGAGCATCTTAACCGGCCAGACATGGTTCTCTTATGTTTAACTGCTTACTCACTTCCTTTTCACAGACTTTTTCTAGACATCTGAAAGTTTGTACTTTCCGACTCCATTTATCGATTTTCAATACAGAAGCTAAGTTACAGCGGTGATGTCCTGCACCCGAATATGTGTGCGTTCAGCATCCCTTAGTTTCTATTTCTGGTGCTCAACAGGGAGTTCGCAGCTGGTGTCATATTATGCGTTTTTTGCAGCTATGCAATGCAGAAAATACGTACTGACGAGGGGTTGTCTGCGTATGCGTCTGCCACGCACTTTCATCTCAAGACCTATAAAAGCTGCGAGGCTGAATCTTTTTTGGGGAACTTAATCTACATGCACGTGCCGGCCCCAATCCCCAAAATGGGCGCCAACACCCGTGTGACATCCTTGCGCGCCCGCCAAAATTTTTTCGGGGTGTGTTCATAACTCGGGGATCTGAGAAGCTAGAACGCTGAAATCTTAGGGAAATGTTCCCTGTCCAAGTAGGTGTTAATGCACTGAAACCCATCCCCTGGGCAAGCGTGATACCTACGCACGAGCCCTTGAAAGTTTCTTCCGGGTAAGTTGCTAACCCGGGAAAGTGAGAAGCTAGAAGACTGGGATTTTGAAGGGATGTTTCCTAACAGTCCTGGCGGCCAGTCTGAAATTCTTTTAGCTAGAAGCATCTGCCAGAAAAACCAGTACCGTTAGCGACAAAAATCTGTGGGGAGCTATGCAAAAAACGCATCTTCGCACGGGCAGCCTGTGCGTTGGCCAATTATTGTTACCTGTAGTCGGGCTGTTTTCGTAATCCTATGACGACGGGAGCCTGTGAGACGGGGTGTGCCTCCACCACTGGCATCTCAATACGTGGCACCACCAATGGGGAGCAGTATTTGTTGGCCCCGTCACATATGGCAGCGATGAGGTGTCGTTTCAGTGCACTAATCGACATATCACGGGGTTTGTGAACACATACTATTCCATGTAACGCTTGCCACAGTGATCGAACAGGCTGCTCATGCATCTCATACGCGTAACGTCGCCGAGTACCGAATGCTGAAACGATAAGAACGGATCATTTGCTTTCTGTGAGAGACAGAGGCACGCGGAA